CCCCAAAACCCCAAAACCCCAAAACCCCAAAACCCCTTGGTAAGCGAATTTAGTTGAAAATTAAGTAATTTGGGAAGATATTTTGGAGATAAGGGGGTTTAATGGGGATGAAGAGGTGGGGAGAGAAGAGGGAAATTGGGCTTTTGGGGGAGGTTTTGGGAGGTTTTGGGGTGAAGTTTGTGGGAAATGGTGTTTTTAGGGGAGGAATGTATGTATTTAAGGGATATATGGAAGGTAGATTGGATCTGGGGTTAGAAAATGTCTTAAAATATTTGGAAATGATTTCTATTTAGATTAGCAAACCCTGAGTTTCTCTTAGCTAACCTTATTTAAAGAAAAAAGTATGATAATTAATTTATCACAAAGTTTATTTAATTTTGTAACGCCTGGAAATATTCCAGAATAAATCAGAGCAGCCTATATTCTTATCTTGCTTATATGTTTGAGCTTATAAATCCTTCCTATCTCTCGAAACTTCTTTGATGCCCTCCTTCCATCATGCTTGAAATAAGTTGGAATCTGATCTGGCAGCTCAGAGCTTCTCCTATCTATAAAAAGGTTAATATGAATGCTTGAAATAGAAAAATAATTAAACTTACAGTCTAAGTAAGTGCTCCTTCGTTGCTTCGGGTTCTTCTTTCCATACATTTCCTCCAGTTCTTGTGAACTTGGAGCATTTGGAAATAGAAAGTTTGAAACATTAGGTAGCATTGCCTTTGGACTAGTCTCTCTATTTTCAAAGTTAAGTAGGAGTGGGCAAACCGGAAAATAAACCAAATTGGAAAATTCCAGTTAGACTATGAATATTCAGAAGAAGATTTATTTTGATAACGAAGCTATCTGAAGTTTATTAAGCTCTAAGAAAATCCCTTACTGGTCTTTCACACGCCTCCTCATTTGATGAACTTCTTGACTAGGAACAAAGGTACTATTAATCTTGGTAGAAGGGTCAATCACTGTAATTTTGTGATTTCTTCTTCCATTCTTTCGAATAGGAACTAGGAGTGTTCCCTTAGTACTATATTCATAGAGCTTAATAATTTTAAGCTTCTTGCTAACCCCAACGTTCTTGCTTTTGGTCAGGTAATTATTTTAGCATCGTCTTAGATCTATAATAAGTGTTATAATAAAAAATTGCGGATTTTTACATCGTTATTAAGATTTCAGTCCTATCAGACCAAAGACTTGCCAATAGAAGGTTCTAAACCCCTCATTTATAATTTTCTATCAAAGGAAAGGCAATCAGGAAGGATCTCACATTTTGGAAAATTTATTTACCTAGTTGTTAATTTTGTGTATGAATTTCTAAAGGCTAGTTCCAGTTTAACAATCATTAGTTTTCTTAGATTTTTGCAGACTAATACTTATCAAATTCTAATTCTCGACGTAATTATCGTATATGTACTAGAGGCGATGTGCTATGGAGTCCTATTGAGTAGGACTAGACTCAAAGAAATTTGGATAGCAACCAAAGTTGCATAATACGAAATTCTTAATAGTCTTAGAAATGGATATTAATAAAAGTTTGCTAAAATTTAGTGTACAACTCCTCTTATTATCTAACTACACTAACAGATATTTGCAACATCTTGGAGGCTAACCGCCGCTATCTAAAAGCAGAATCTTTCTTGATATAATTTAACTCAATTCACCTGCTTAAATCAAGCTAAACATTACTATCCAAAAAGTGCACATAATCAGTCCAAAGATAAATTTTGATAGCATTTCTCATAAACCAACCTACATTTGGGGAAGTGATGCCGAGGAATCCCTCGCCTTATCCCTCGATAATCTCATATGACTCGCCTATAAACTCCAATTACACCCAAACCTCTACTAAATTCCCAAAATCCCATCTACTTACCGGCCTAATACCATACAGCTTTCTTGAAAGGCTGGTGACTAACTTCTGGGGATCCAGAGTCTCACTTCCACTAGCTGGTTCCATTAGGTTGTTAATAATTTCAATTATTTAATTATTGGCTGGGGTTTTGGGGTTTTGGGGTTTTGGGGTTTTGGGG